ATTAATTATGTGTATGCAGCTCTAATTAGTGATTTCAACCGCGTGAATATAGCCAACATTTTTTAATGTTACTTTAATGAAGGGTTATCAATCGCACAAGGTATTTAATTTTAACCCATTGCTGTCAAGTACATTTTATGTCTTACTATTATATCTCCGTATGTATGGCTGTTTATTGTCAATGATATACTTTATTGGCTTGATAAAGGCCTTCTCAGGCTTGGCATACTTGGCCCTGACATTGAGAAACATCTTCAGTCATTTAATTTCGTCTATTTGATACCCATTAGCAGGAAGATTGTGACATCAATTATTGCGATGTCACGTGACAATCGCAATTGGGAATTTGTGATTGTTTGAAATTGTGATTGTTTACGATCGCGATTTCTATTTTCACGGGCGATAGTTTCGAATAGATAAGCGGAGCTCTTTAAGCTCCCTTATAGTGGATTTTTAATAAAATTAGTTAGTACGAATAAGTTTTATTACAAAGATTGTATCCAGAATTGCCAGTCATATTGCTCATAACCATATTTTCGGTCTCCTTTATCACGCCACCAAGGCTGGTTTTGTCACCGCCAGTTCCACATGTAACAGCAGTGTCTAGTATAGCTGCTTTGCTGACACTGAGTGTTATATTAAATGCATAACTATTTTTATATGCACGAATTAGATATCTCTTCATATATATCATATTGTGTATTTCTAAAAGCAATGTCTTTGCCAAATGACTTCCATATATTACAAGATGTTTCAAGTTCTTTTGTTGGACCACTTCCAGACTCTACTCTTTATTTCAATATAGCTCCAAAGTCTGCAAACTGGGTGATATTTGAAGTAGACCTGGTGAACTTACTACCTGCCATAGGTCACCATTAGCAGTGTTAACGTTTATGATGCCAGCTAAAATGCCGTGGCCCGGGCTATAATTTTGACAGCTTGCTAAGTCCCATCTAATAGCGCCTGTTTCGTGGAGAAAGATTAGCAGCAGTACCATGTCGCTTGCACAAGTGTCGTGAAAGTAAGAATAAATTAACTCAGCATTAGCAGAAAATGACGGAAAAAGCGTGGCAAGGACCAGGTGTAACGCAATTAAACCCGGCTTGTCCCCAGTGATTGCTCAATGGATCAATAACCAGTCAGTTTCCTACTCGGATATGCGGAAATACCCATACGAGCAATATAAATACTAGTGAATATGAACAGTGGAGGTTGTTAATCGGTGAGCTTTCTCATAGTTCATTTTGTCGTGCTCTATAAAAATGTGGGTCTAAATCGATATATTCAAGCCTTAAAAATTACTTAACTGAAAAAGGGGGCAGCGCTGTGTGGGCAGCGCTGTAAACATCATGGTCTTCCTTGATGTCAGCCAGCAATAACAGAAATGTGTATAGTGGCCATGAGGGCGATCTTGATTCTTGAAAAGGGTAGTGCCTTGAAATGTGTGTTGGGCACCACACATTTAATTGATATTTTTTATCATAGCACCAAAGCAGGCAAAAGTTTGACGACGAAACGCATGCTGAATGAATAAATAATAAAATATGTTTATCTGTATATAAATGGAATATATGTTAGTAGTTGATGAGATGAGATGGAATGATGTTATGTAAGAGGGGGGTGGGGAGCACTACTGTAATAGTGTTAGAAGAATGGGTGTGAAATTATAAAGGTTTTTATTACTAGTGTTTCTAAAGTGCTATTATCGCCGGCCTCGCCTTATATATACCTCCTTGTCTTTGTAGCACTCACTGGCAGTCGTGTGCTCCGTTCTCAAGAACTGGTCCTTATGAAAGTAGCCTGGGTATCTGGTATGGCATAATTGGCATGTCTGTATTCTTGCGCCCAGCACATCCATTTCGGGACAGGCAGTATGTCCGGATGTCAATTGTGGCGCCTAATTTGGTCCCCTGTAATTTGGCCCATATCAGATCCATCTGCGAGCTGACGAGAATCTGTCTCATGATTTTCGCCCTCAGCGTCTACCTCCATATCCTCGGGCTGCATAACAATGAGATGAGTTAAAAATTGGAGAAATGTCGGTGCTGGCCAGGGTTGCCTTTATACATAAATTGATACATTTGCTTTTGACTGCAATTTGCCCTTCACATTATTGTGAAGTAGTAATATTTATTAATACAGCATTTGCATAGCTCTGTTGTTTTATCATGCGGGCGCGCGCAGTCTGACAGGTTTGAATGATTGTTTGTAAAAAGAAAGACACGTTTTCATTTATTTTTGTACTTTACAAATGCGCAACGCACGACACACAAATGCAAACAAGATTATGCAGATGGGGGATAAAGCGCTTGGCCAGCGCAAATTAAACAAAACTGTTTAGTATGTGCGCTAAGTGATAACATATACAAAAGTACCCAGGGCCTTGAAGATCCAAGCAAGCGCGTGTGCTTAGCCACACATTAACACAACACAGAAAAAACAAGTGCTGGCGCAGATTACTGGGTACCAACAAACCGCTTGCAAAGCATGGTGTGTCTCGCAACAACACAGTTGTCGTTGTAAATGAAAAATAAACTGTTGATAAATTTTAAACCCAATGCTTGCAATACACCTCAGCATCCGGCTTATGCGACTAACTGCAGCAATAACAACAGTAGAACACTATTACACTATTTGTCTGTACATTTTATATTTTGTTTAACCACTATTTAACTTGTCCTGAAATGTGCCACATTCCTTAGTTTAAGACTAGGAAATTGTACATTTGTTTTTGTAAATTATTAACCAGCACCCGGAACCCAAGTGCAGTTTTAAATAAGCAAAAAAGCAGCCAGGACACACAGAGCCATTGCATAGTGTCCGTAGTTATTTATTCCACTGGCAGAGCTCAAACGTGATTTGGACATCTTGCTTTCAACCTCCGAGCACGAGTTTCCGCACAGCGCAAGAGAGTTGATCTTCTGTCCCGGGCTGATGTCGAACGGATTATACGAGTTCTCGCAGGTGACATCTCCGGGCTTGCCCTTATTGTTCAAAACATCAATCTTGTCTATCCATGTGTACTGTTTCTGCTCAATGATGTACTTGTACGACTTGATGTTCAGATTTTTGCCAATGCTGTCGTACTTGGCTCTAACGTCCAAAAACATTTTCAGCCACTCTATTTCATCGACGGTGTATCCATTAATCTTGAGGTTGCTTTTAGAGTCGCCTGTCTTGTTGCTGGTGACCTTCTTTTTGGCCTCCTTGATGATGCCGCCCAGGCTGCCTGCACTGTCGCTTGAGCCGCGAGAAACAGCGGTGTCATAAAAGGCCGCTAGACTGACGCTGAGCTTAAGTCCAAGTGTTTTGGCCTGCATCTGAGACGGAGTGAAATACAGATTGTCGTAGACCGTGCCCTGTGCCGAAATAAACTTTGTGTTCAAAGCAAGGGCCTTCCACGCATCGCAAAAGCCTTCTAGCCCGGCAATAGAGCCATCCCTGTTTTCTGCTCGTTCGGCAAGCACAGTGTTGTACTTTGAAAACTCGTCATTTCCGCCCGTGAGGTTGTGGTAGGCCTGGATCACCTGCCAGGTGTCGCCAGCGGCAGTGTTAAAATTTGCCACGCCAGACGAGTAGCCACTGCCGTTGGTGTCTAGCTCGCAGTTGCCATAGGGTGACTTAATGTCGCCAAACTGAAAGACGTTGGTCAGCTGGAAGGCCAGGTTCTTTGGGCAGTCGGCAAGCTCGGCGTTGACAGAGCTCAGCAAGAAGAGAGAGGCAATGGCAAGGGCAGGTAGCCGTACAATATTTGAGAGCATGATGCAAATGTATGGAATTGTAATAGTTGTAAATAAAATGAAAAAGAGAGATGAATGTGCCAATGCTTGGGATGCAGCTTCTCTTTTCATTTTTTTAAAGGATAGGTTGCAGCTTTCTTTTTTCGCAGTATTCTTTCATTGCAATGAAACCTTTCGAGACTTTTGTAATAAATGCAGCAAGCATCATCCTTTGAACAAAAGAAACTACCAACGCACCCAGTGCTGGTTGGCCACGCAGCCCTATGATATTTACTCGTCAACTATTAGGATATAAACTAGCTGTTTCTCTATGTTATTCTGTTTATATTATTCCATGTCTTTGCACAAATAAAAATAACAGCAACCTCGTGTTTTGTCCAGTGCATTACGCACAAAGTGGAATGCGGAGCACCGAGCAACGCTCGACACAACGCGCCATTGCGTGGTGCAAGTAAATAAAGCCCCCCACAATTTAAAGTTGTGTGTGTTGCTTGCAACAAAACAATTGCGAACAATTTGCGTTGTAATATTTATTATAAAATACAGGCATTGAATGCAAATAATAATAATCATTTGGCGGAAATAATGCCAATTTTTTTAGCTTTCGAGTCTCGACAAAGATACCAAGTTTTCCAATGCCAATGTGAGCGAGCTGTTGTCGCAACACTTAGAGATGTGCTGTATTTATGTGCAATAATCCACAATAACACCTAAAATCAGTGGCACATTTATATACACTGATAATTTCAAAATACTTATGTCATTAGAATATAAAACTTGAGTAGGCGGTAAACAAAATAACAATTCATACAAATTCGCCATCATTCAATGCCAATCTTACAATTGCGAGGCTCCAAGGTTTCTTAAAAGTTAAACGACATTTCTCGCCGCCATACAAATTTTTGTTTTTTGTATCTTTTGAGGCTTGTATTTCAAATACTCGGTGTATATGACGGCATCGACATCGACATCAAGGTCGTCATTGTAGTAGTCGTCGTCGTTGTCGTTGTTATATTCATCGCTGCATTATGGCTGGCGCTTGTACTTTCTTGATAAATTAAGATCGAATAGTGCAGAACCTTTAGATTCAGGCATAGTCTCGATGTCTACAGTATATTCGTATGAGGTGTAGTTTGGATAATGACTGGCTTCCTTATCTCTTTCTGGCATTTCAGACAGCATGATCGCGAGCTGTTGCACATGCTTTTACCACCTTGAACCCGTAGTCTGCGGTGCTGAATAAAATATTTCCATGAACCAGTATGCATCCTGTTGTGCGAGGTAATTATCCCAATCAGTTAACACTGGGGTTGGTTCTGCCAACTCCACTGCACATGTCGAGAAATTATATGCATCGTGGGCGCTCTGCAGGTCTGGATACGTGTTCAAAATGCAATTGTTTTCATACGGCAGTGCAAATGGAGCTGGGAGCGGCGCTATATATAGCGCGGAGTCATTGTGAGTGCCCTGGCTAACTAGTGGCAGCTTAGGCAAAGCTAGCGCCAGTACCAGGGCGTAAATGTTTTCCGATCTACGGCCAGCCGATGCTAGAAGAAGCGTGGGTGTAGTTGAATAGCCCATGTTGCTGTGTAGGGGTGATAGCGGCGAAGACACGGTTGTTTTTGACGATGCACGTTCAGAAG